AATCACCATTTTCAATGGGTAAATCCACTATAAATGGTCATTTTCAATAGCTATGTTAAATTACCAGAGGGTAATTATTGCTATAGACTATAGTTAGTATCGTTCCAACATTTTCCAACTGTCTTCAAGTTGTTTTTCATGACTACAGTACCATTTTTGTGGCAAAACATTGGGCCTGTCGCTTTGTCTGCGAGTTTTACACATCTCCTGGCTTTGTTTTCTTTCGAAAGAAAAACTGACCGAAAAGTGGGATCGTGATCGTGATCTAGTGGCTCTGACAATTAATTGTGGCCTTGTCTTATGGGTGTTTGAGAATGGGGTATACCGGGTATACCCCCCAAAATGATCCAAAAGACCAATTTCAATGGAGCAATGGTGATTTGCTGCAACTCATGAATTTCGGGGTGTATCCTGGGTATCCTATTTTGGTCATCATTAATTGTAGCTACAAAAATCCTTATTAGCATAAGTATAAAATATCAAGCATTATTAAGCATTGAATTGTTAACCATTATTCACCATCATTGTTAACGATTATTGACCATGATTAACCATAATTAGCCATGATTCACCATCATTAACCATCATTTAAACATCATTCGTCATCCATTGGCCAGTGATGATCTGTTTAAATCTGTTTAAGCACCGAAAAACCAGGTGGTGTTCGGCCACGACATGGACTTCTCCATTCCGCGCACTGCAGAGCACTTCGAAGACGAAAACTTCGAGGGTGCTGCAGGGCAGAGGCGCAGCGCCAATCATGGAGACCTCAGGCCGTGACCTCACCATAGATGATGGTTATACGGGGAATTATGCGCAAATGGCCTTGTTTGAGTTTAGTGAATTATTGTTAAACGATTGTTACCTAGATGACTTAAAATGGTAGACCTTTTCCGGCTAAGCTTGGTGAATAACCATTGTGACACATCAAACATGTTGGTTCAAGTTGGTTTCACAGACATCCACATGAATATTATGGCAAAACCTATGGCAAACCTATGGCAAAACCTTAAAGATATCTTAATGTCACAACTGGAGACATTGTGTACACCATGAAAATATCCCACTAGGTCGCTGTGGAGACTGAGCGCTCCCCTAGGGTCTCCCTTAGGGCGCTGTGGCCGTGAGGTCGCTGGGCCACGCGGGGCCCAAAGGCTTGAAGTTGTCTCCGGCCAAGACGATCTGTGCCGCGGACGCTGTCATCTTGGGCCGAGATCTGGGGCATTCCCAGGTGGGAGATGCCCAATGGCAGCCTAGTGGCAGACTGGCTTTAGACCTGAAAATCTGGGAAAAACCATGGAAAAAGCCGTCGTAAATCCATGGATTGAGAATCAGAATCCCATAGAATCCCCATTAGAAACTGCAATTTGGAGGTATACATCATTTTCAGAGACACCCGACTTTCTAGATTTTGTCTGGAATAACATGAGATAAGCATAAATTGCTGGTTAATGCCGATATAAAATGGTGGTGTATGGGATCTAGGAATTTTCAATCTGCACCAGCCGGACTTGGAGTGGCTCTGTGGGTGCCAGCTTGCTGAGCTTGCATAGTCAGTAGCCGCCCCTGGTAATTTACAATGGAAAGCCCCTTAAGTGTAACTTTTCACGGGAAAATCGGAAAATCATTGAACTAAATGGATCTATAATGATATATATATATACATAGAAATGGGTGATGTTCCAGGGTGAAATTACTGGAGGGTGCTGTAGTAGTGGGATCCAGAATCCACAGTGGTAGGCTCGAGGTGAGTCTCCAGTAAGGCAACATATCTGCAAAACTGAGGAGGATTCTGAGCTCAGGCCCCTGACACGTGAAATCCATTCCATAGAAGTTTTCGGTGAGTTGGTTTATATAACTTCAATAAGCATTTGGATTTTTTCGATCTATTGGTTGGTCTGAAAATGTGGTACCCGTCGGTTCATCATCATTTTCTATATAATAACTGGGTCATTTTGGGGGTAGAGGTATAGTATCCCATTTTCAGGCGCAGCCGATTTTTTTTACACAGCTCACAAAACAGTCTTTTGTAAGCACCATACCGACATATACCGACCATACCTGGCACGATTCGTGGGGCGCAGGAGAAGGTTCAGGAGCATTTGCATCTCCAGGAATTCAAGGCGCTGATGGGGCAGTCAAGCTCAGGGCCACCTGAAAACTGACTGTAGCCTCTGGTCATTTGACATAGCTATGATGGCCGAGCTATAGTTCGATGATTAGCTATGGCAGCTATGAATAGAATGATTTCCCATAGCCCTTTCTGTTAAATTGCCAGAGGGATCCAGAGGGTAACTATCAGATTTAGTTTTTTTAAAAAAATGGGGTTAAGAACTACCAATGCGGCTGTGAGTCGTTTGAGTTTGTGAGCATGAACCACTCGGCATTCAGCTGGGCGATCCATGTGTTTATCATGTACTTGTAGTTTGGGGTTCCACTGTGCAGTCTAGCCGGGCGCACACACAAACACCACACACAACAACTTTGAGCTCTTGATTTGAGTCTTAAAGTTGATGCAAAGGAATGCAAAGGAAGGATTCTGCCAGTTACGTTTTGTTGAGGCAAGATGGCAGTTTGAAAACAAAAGAAACGTTCCACGACGTTCCCCAACGTTCCCCAACGCTTCAGGATGCTGCAGGTGCTCAGAGCCTGGGACGAGTGTCGCGAAAGGAAGGGCTGAAGGCGAACTTTGTACCGGGCACTTCCCAGGTCGATGAGGCCCGGGAACGGGCTTCGCTTCGTCCCCTAGGAAGGGACCAAAAAAATCAGCCAAGATTTGACGGAACCAAGGACCTAATTTTGTTCCTATAGATTTTCCCTTAAAGCAATCCATTAAGATCATTAAGATTGAATTCTGTGGTGTATTGTTGTTGATTTCTGAAGTATATATATATATACTACTACTTAGTTGATAGGTTTTGTGAAGGTTTGTTGCCGGGAGACGGGGGTATATACTCCCCAGCTAAAAGCAGAGAGTGTAGGACCGCTAGGAGGGCAGCTTCCACTGCTATCGTGCGAAAAAATGAGATCTATCCAGCGGCCACATAAACTGGTTGCTGGTTTCGAGGATCTTTTATTTTCCATAACAAAAATGGGATAGTCCTTCCCAACTGACGAAGTCATTCATTTTTCAGTGGGTAGGTTGAAACATGTTGAAACCACCAAGCAGCTAACACGTTACGTGGCTGTGTCCACAGGCTACCTCCAGCAAGGCAACGGGTTTATCATCACTCTCCCTACACCAGTTTCAGACACACCATGACACGCCCATGGTTTTGTTACCTGGTTGGTGGTTTGCAACATGTTTTATGACTTTCCATTCAGTTGGGAATTTCATGATCTCAACTGACGAAGTCCATCATTTTTCAGAGGGGTAGGTCAACCACCAACCAGCCATTATTATATAACCATCATTATATAATCATCATTAATCATCATTAACCATCATTAAATCACCATTAATCACCATTAATCACCATTAATCACCATTAATCACCATTAATCACCATTAATCACCATTAATCACCATCATTAATCATCATTAACCACCAACCATCTATAAATATAGGTATACCACCAACCAGTTACATGTGTGTAGTGGAAACGTCGAGTTTCTACTCCCAACCAATTACCTGGACCACTGGACCCGGCAGATCGTCTTTGGCGATGCCCACCCTGGCGAGATGGACCATCTCTTGCCCGAAACCTTTGAAGGTGAGACATGACGGGAGAACTGGGATATGAAGCACCAAACGGATGGTTGTCGTTTATGGAAGCTTTATAGACCTTCAAGTAGAAATATATGATGAACATGGATGAACATTAGATGAACTAATGATGAACTATGAATATCATGGCCTGAACTGTTGAGGTTTTACCTTCTTAACAATTCTTGGACGATTTGATGTTGTTTTCTTATACGGATTGGTAATCCCTATGAGTGGAGCTGGAAGTCACAGCATAGCGAAGCGGTCAATCTGTCAATCTGCTCCAATCAGTCTGACACTCTGGTTATGACTAACATAGCCATGGGAAATGGCCCATAGAAATAGATGGTTTACCAATTAATAGCATGGTGATTTTCCATGGCTATGTTAAATAACCAGATGGTAGTTTGGATTTTTGATTTTTCTCAATAGTCAATAATAAAATACATCGTTGGCTTCTGTGACCTATATATGATATAAAACTTCAACGCTTGCGATGAACATGTTTATACTTCCCAAATTCCCCAAAGTCAAGTCGTCAAATGTGCCTCATTATTGTGTTTCCCCATGCAAACCCAATATGGAATCCCCAAGCAAATAGCCACTTCAGAGCCAAAGAAGAGATCTCATAACATCTCATAACTCATATTCCAGGGACTGATTTTCAAGGACACCATTCTTTATGGCATTCATGCCATAAAATTCTTGAGGCGCGGCGGGTCGAAGGTGCATCGGGCAACCGCAAAAGGACCAAACCGGAGTAAAGCCCAGCCTGATGGCCCACGCCGCCCGGAGCACGGCGGAAGGGGCGCCGAGGATGGAAAAAAACTACAATATATATATGTATGTAATTAATTATATCATGCATATTATATATATAATTATATATATACACACATGTTATATATATAAGTATATATATAGTTATATATATATATCCCTAGGGATCCCAAACACTCGCTCAGCAGGTGATTCCCAATGTAATCCTTGTTGGTGAGGTTTTTTTGGGGGTCAACCTCCAAGACAGTGCTCAGAGACAACTGGGAAAGCCTGCCCCCACCCACTTAGCCACTGGCCTTCTTTTTCTCTGTTGCCACAGCGTTGCAGCATGGTTACTGGATCTAATCTTTGTGCCCAAAGTGGTTTAAGACACTCTGGTGTGCTGAAAAGCGCAGGAAACCTTAATTAAATTAAATTTCGCTGGATTTGCATCCTCATATCTAATTAGTCTTCATCCTCGCTCCATTGCTGCAATTCCAAGTGACTTTTTTGCCTCAACTGGCTTAGACATGGTCATTTGACCAAAGTGCTACATATATGTAGTTCCCCCCAACAAAAATAACCAGTGGAAAATGGTGAACAAAAACTAAAGCTAACATTGAGATCAAGATACGCAAGGTAAAAACGCCTCAACGCAATGAAATCTACATTGCTATTATTGCCAGATGAGCACAGAGTAGTCATGCGACCAATGAAGCCTTCTGGTTTGAAGCCGTGGAAGAAGCGGTGGTTGTAGCCTGGTCTGAACCAGTACTGAATGAAGAAGCTTTGTTTTTGGTATAGCTAAGATACAAGTCTTAAACAAAGTGTGATAAATTGTTTGGCACTAGTAAATGTATTTGCCAACTAGGCCACGCCACAGTCTTGCACCTGCTGAAACGCGAGCTCTTGCCAAGCCTTGGCTCACAAGCCAGGAATCACCTGCTTAGATAATATGTTTGGGATTTTGAAGGTGTGCATTTGATTTCCCCTTACTGGTGGTTGTTTCAAAATCAATCTGAATTAAGGTCAATGAAAGTAAGCTGAGAAACATGAAGTTTCGGTCGGACCGGGAAAAACAGCTGGTCTAACCCCACCGCCATGTTGGAAAGAATCGCATAAGCAGTCAAACACTCATCGCATGTGTAAAGAAGATCCTGCGCTTGATGTTCACTCAAATACCTGGGATAGAGCTCCGATTTGCGGTGCCACTCTGAAGCATAGTACCTCAATGGCCACCCAGCTTTCCCACTATGTACCATATATGTACAATGATAGGTATTCAATTCATAGAGTACATCATTCCAGATGTTGGGATATACAACTCATAAATGAGTTGGTGATGTGCATAAAATAAATGAACAATTTTTACAGTACTTTTGTTGATCCACCAAGTCACACAAGTGATGCCATCAGAGGCAACCATTGGTCATGCAAATTGCGGTTGGCCATGGATATGGTTTCCTCACAAAGCCAGGCCACCACACACCTAGCCTCAGTGAACCCAAGTTGTGGTGAACATGTGGGTCATCACGGATGGATATTTCCATACCCAGGGATATGTATGTATATATATATATATTAGAAAATCATATATCTTGGATATAAGGTTCATATGTTAGTAGTGGATCTCCAACCACCAAAAACAAACAAATCAACAGTGCACTTGAAGAATTCAAGTTAGGAAGCATTCCATGCTTTCGCCTGCAATTCTGGCCATGGATGCTGCTTGCTGCGCAGCCTCCATGGTCGAAATTTTGGCATGGAGTGCCTCGATTGAATGGTGGGTCAAACTTTATAGATAAATCATAATATTCAGCAACTAACTAATGATATGATCAACCAACCCAACCAAGTAATATATAACCTTGCATTTTTACTCACCATCACCCCCATACATCCCAAAAGAAAGCTTCCACAAAATGTGGGACAAGTTTCTGCACTTTGTTTTTCCTTGCCCACAACTTGAAGGAATCATACGCAATCAGTAGTCTATCCTCTTCATCAAGGGCTAAGCCACCAAACGCATCATCATATTCCAACAGCTTTTTCATGACGGACCCACAAATCCACAAGTCGCATCCTAAATTCACGATGTGCATCGAATCCCACTTGACCATTTCCATGGCGAAGCCAGGTAGCTCCAGCAGAGGGCCTGGATGAAACCACAGTTACATAACCATAATTAACCATACATATATTATATTCATGATCCATTAAGTGTACGGGTAAACTGATTTCAAGCACACATAGATGTAAAAACAAAATGTATAGCTAATACATTTTAGCAAGGTTCTTTGCAAACCACCAGCTCCAGGTTTGATGCATTCCCTCAAGAAACTTTCTGTAACGTGGCGGAATTTGGTGTGCAGGTTGCCGGGAGCACTGAAGTAGTTGGGTTTCATAGCCCTGCAGCAATGACAAACTGAATTCGCCAAATAACTTGAAGATAGCTGCAGCCATTCCTGATTATGCCAATTGCCAATAACAAAAGAATATGGTGTTTTTTGTCAACATGTTCAACCGAGTATGTATCGCAATGAATAGGCAAATGTTGTTGTGACTACTTATCATACATAGTATCATACATGTTACACACATATATATATATACTACTCCACATGCAAAAAAAACCAAGCTTCTTTTTGAAATTTCCAATCTCCACGTAACTCTGTCACTGCGTAATGCACCTTTGGCTTTGCTGGGTCCAGGGTGGCACCATCGCTGTGAAGAGCTTGCATTGAAGAAACTACCTTAAGGGCAATGTCTGGGTGAATTCCCGAAAACATGTTGTATCAGTGCATTTTCTATCCACCAGGTGGCAATGAGTTCGGGGTTTGGGTTCCCAAATTAAAGATAAAAAGCCAAGCCACTGCAGACAGAATCGCATGGAGAGTTTGGAAGCCAGCATTGATTTCCTACAGTGGCCATTACACACCACAAATAATCATTCAATTAATGTACATGTATGACCAAAACTTAACATAACAAAAATGTACATAAACTAATTCAGGATAAGGTTCGGATCGACAAACGCAAATTGGGTAGCAAGATTCTGCACTGAATTTTCTGGGGTCAATGCAGCAACCCATCGCCACCACCAGGACAGTCTCACCATTTTCCCTAAAGTCAGCTTCATCTCCCCAAAGCCAAACTGGAACATGGGTTTTGGTTGGGCTCAGTTGTGACACCGGCGATCCAAACTGATGAAGGTGATCCCAATATCGATGAATCTCACTCTCATCCGGCTGGGGCCACTCCAATACCACGTTGTGGGGAAAAACGATGGGGTGCTTCCTCCCAGGGTTAATATCCCACAAACCCATTAAGCTGATTGTTCCTGATCCCTTTGAAGGAAACATTAGATTAATCCTTATACCTGAACATCTTATTATTGTTCACTAGAATGTTTTATGCATATGGTGGATGAAACCCTGCACTGGCCGCACCCAAAATCATTTGTTCATAATATTAAGTTATTGACTTATTGCATTGCTGGCCTAAGATCGTCGTGGGTATGAATCACCTTTGGGAGCCAGCATTTGCTATTATGTTTTGTCCCAATAGTCCTGATTTCCACATCGTTGGGCCCTCTGCATGTTTGCAGAGGCACATCAATCCAGTCAATTTTCACCTCCAATGGTTCAATGATCTGAAAGGTGATACCATTATCCTAAAAGGATATGTAAAGGCAACAAAGCTGTGACTATGTTGCATTGTTAAACATATATGGTTTTAAAATCAACCAAAAAATATAGTTTCAGATCATCATGGCCTGCTTTGGGTCGGCCTTGGCAACCTTCCTCAAGATGTCCCTCTGTACGTTGGAGGTGAACTTGCCACCACATCCAGCTTGCTGCAAGGCCTTGCAGGGGCCCTGAAGTTCGACTCCATGAAGCTTGAACTCCTGGTGAAGGCCGATAATCTGGGTGGCACATGTGTTTGCAAATATGTGTAGATCTACTTCAAGTGCAGCGAGAAAAAAAATATATGTGTGGTTATCAAATATTTACGTATCTATGAATCGAAACATAATCAGGCACAATTTCTGTGTATGTGGTTCAGAGCAAAAACGCAAAAACACTTCAGCACCTATGTGTGTAAATGTACATATATGCATGACAAAGGTGCAGAACTAAGCACCAAGGTCCACCCCAGCAACAAGTCCTTATCAACGTACTTCAGAACCTTTTGGGTTTTTGCAAAGGAACTTTCCTGAACGAGATGCAGGTAGCTCGTGTTTGGTGTTTTTGTTGACACACTGCAATAGAATTGTTGACATCAGCAAGTTGAAACCGCAAAACACAAACAATTTTCCCTTTGAGCCGCCCTGCACTTAAATGGGTAAGAGCCACTTTAATGTCAGCCAAGTTTCTCCAAGTCCAGCTTCCTTCAATAAGAATGAATACAATGGAGACGATTTCGCTTTGGATATGTCAGCACCTGCGGGCGGAGGTCAAGAAGCCAAAGCCTAAGGGTTGTAATTTGTTCTGCCAGTACATGGGTGAAATATTCACATCTACATGTGGATGGATACTAGTATCAATGAATATGTGTATTTGTAAGTGTACATGCACTAGCATCACACTCACAAATGTACACCAACCACCTGTAAACCATACACACTTACATGCATGCATGCATGATACATGCATACATACATACCATACATGTCATACATACCATACATGTCATACATACCATACCATGCATGTCATACATACCATACAAAAAAAACACATGAATAATTTAACATACAAACCAGACACACCACACAGACCATGCATGTAATACATGTTATACATACTTAGGTACATACATACATACATACATACATGCACACACACATACATACATACATACATACACATATACATACATACGCACACACACATACATGCACACGTACATACACCCATACATGCATACATACATGCACACATACAAAAACAATTTACATGCATACTTACATGATGACATACAAACATGTATACTTACATATATGCATGATATAGATGCATACCTTACATGTCATACATACCATACATACCATGCATGTCATGCATACCATTCAAACCAAACACACCACACAGACCATACATGTCATACATGTCATACATACAAACATACATACCTACATACAGACATACATACATACGTACACACATACATGCATACACACATGCATACATACATACATACATACATATTTGCATACACAAATACACACATACATACACAAACTTACATGTATAACAATATGTGCATACATACATACATACATGCATACACGCATACTTGCACACACACATATGTGCATTCAAGCAAACACCTTACAGTTCATCACATACATAATCTTGTACATGTAATCATATTCATACACGTAGGCAAAACCAACATTCAACTATGTACATAAGCACATTCTTAATTTACTTGCAGACACGCTTGCATACATTCACACAAGATTACGAAGATGCATAGACACGCATGAAACAATCATATGAATCATGCAAAATATAAAGTACATACATCAAGCATATGCACACATACGCCTACATAATGTAATAAAGGGATGCAATTCAAGGATAATGTTGAGCCTGCACCCATAAATATTTCATTTGATGTATTGGTGATGGTACCGTTCTACTAGGGGTTTGTTTGGTGGTTACAATGATATTCGTCTGACTATCTAATGAACCATGGTTTAAATGAAAATAATTTCATTATTAATATCGTGTTGATATATGTAAAAAAAATCATTGCATTAATGTAATATATATATATATGTATATATAAACAATCATTCCGATCCTTGCAAACACCACGCCGCAGCACGAGGTCCTTGGGGCCCAGACATAGCACGACTAGGTATGGTATGCATATCTAGGTTTGGATTCTTATTTTTCTCATTCCGTAGCCAGGACGATTTCTTGGCTGAGATAGCTGTTTCGCAAAATACTGGCTTGCCCCAAGCCAGTAAAAATACCTACCAGCAGCTGCCCAACCCAGCCACAAAAAGCCGCAGTTGGCTCTCAATACTGATGCGCAATGATGCACAGTTGAATATGTTTTCTTACATGCTATTTGAAAGCATCCAAATTAGTGGTCAGAACTGTATCACAACATTGCCGCCCGCAAAGCTGCACTAAAGCTGGGTCAGGTCTTCCAAGATAAGGTTAACCCTACCTTGGACCTTCTGCAAAGAAACCCATCGATCACTCAGTTGCTTCTGTCCGCACAGGCTCAACAGCATTCGGTGGAGCCGGCAGCCCCTTGGCTTTCGCTTTGCTCTTCGGCTTGGGTGGGTCCTGAGAAGTCAAAGTGAGAGCCCTCTCATAATCGCATGCCACATTTTTTGCAAAATATGATACATATCATATATATATATATATGAAATCATTCTTGGTCACCAACCAAATCATCACATATGCTTATCTATCGCTTGTACATAATTCGTTGAACCTGTCATTCCACATTGTAAAGTGCAACATTACACAATGGAGACGGTTGATTCAACCAGGCCACACTGAAAAAAAAACATGTTGTGTAAACCCTTATGGCATTCATACTCAAACTATTACATGTTATAAACCAGCATGAGTGATACTACCCCAAATTCAGAAGGTGTACATTTAGCCATTAAAATCAGAACAAGCGTCAATCACACCTTTGATAGATCTCACTGAACCAGAATAGGATGTGAAGGCCCCCTCGGCACTACGGATTGCTTTCATACAATCCTCCTTGTTCTGGGAGTTTTCGGGCCGATCAATGGCCTCATCATCGATACGGAGAGCAAACAAGCGCTCAAGCTCCACCCTGCATTTTTTGATATCACCCAACCGCTGCTCCAGCTCGGCCTTGAAGCCATTGACCAGCACTTCGGTCCTAGTACAGACAGGTAGCCGTGATGATATGGTTCTTATCCCATTACGATTGTCATAATTTAGCACATGAATCATAACATGTTTTTCATGATGGTTCAGCAATACACTTCAAGATCTTTCAAGTTTGAATAAACTGTTTTTAAGTCAAATCAAAACCCAACATGTTGACATTTCAAAAACCAAGTATCAATCCGGTCTTGTTCTCCGACAACTTGGATTGCCAAGAAAAAATCTCTGTCATCTTCGAGCTGCACGCAGTGATGTTTGATGAAATCCGTTTGCTCATGGGTTTCACTTTGTTTCCCTTGGCATTCTTGGGATCAGTCTCAGTAGGTCGGTTTCCCCCTGGGACCTGTGAATCATCACCACCAAATGACGCCGATGTCATCTTTGCGACAATATCAGGCCCAGCAGCTTGCCTGATAGTTTTTCAATGTGCAACCACCATGCGCACTATATGCATTGATACAAAGCAAAGCCATACCTGCTGGCAATCTGAATCCAGTTCCATATAGAACTAGAAAAAGGTTATAATATTGCAGAGCTAGCTACAGAAGAGTTTTGGTTTGGGCCCTGTCCATAGCCCCAGAGGCTTCCCAAGCCATAGTCAGGGCATCGGTCTTTTCCTCCTCATACTCCATAGCATCCCAAACGCGGATGAGGCTCCATTCCTGAGCGGCGGCTTCAGCGACACTGATCCGATAAATGAGGCAAGCTGGGAAAAAATATGTTCCAAACTTATATGTGGTGAAGCCATGGATCACCAGCTGGGATATATACCAAAGGCCAACACATTTGAAAAACAACACTTTTCAGGAATCCAACAAAAATGATAGATACATAATCCATGGTTCTTCATTTCCAGGAGCATCTGGATGTTGCATGAAATACACGGTGTTGTCGCTTTTGCTTTTGTTAGCTTCCAAGCCTTTCTTTTCCTGGAGAATTGATGTAGCGATAGCCTGTCCGAACTTTTTCTTTACCTCTAGGAAAGGCATCAGAACATGTTTCCCTTTGGCTCTCGCAGTTGATGAGCGAGTCATTGAAAGGTTCAAACTGCTATTCATCCAGTCTTCGCCAGGCTGGAGGAAATCCTCAAACAGCATGGGAGTAATGTGTTTGCCTTACTGCTTCAAAATGCAAAACAACAAAATGTTTTATTTGAGGATTGCTTGGTTTTGAGCATTTCAATAAAAGACGCAACCAAATTAAAGGATACATAAGCCATTCAGAGTTACTGGTCTTTCGCTTTTTCCACATCTCCAGGATCGCAGGGGGGCAAGTTGGACCTGAGGGGGCTTGCAGAATCTTAAAATCACACAGAATGGTCGCACATTTGTGTGCTACATCAAAAAAAACATATAGATCGACAGGAAGATAGATAGATACAGAGATCTATAGGGATTTGTCAATGTCAGCATGATATTTTACATTCATATGATCAAAACCAACATCTTTCTGACATACGTCGCATAAAACAATATGTTATATTCCATGAATTTGGATCACCCCACACCTCGGAAGCTACGATCAAATCTCATCTTGGCATTGTGGTTGAGACGTATTACATGGTTTTCTTCGCTTTCCTCTCTACCCTTGGGCCCAATGAACTTGATACCACCTTCTGGCGGAAAGACAACATCAGGATCGTCACCCCATTTCTCACGAAGGGCTCGCTGAGCATCTGCCTGAACAGGAGGTAAAACCATACTATTTGGTGTGTAAATATGATTATTTGCAAGCTACATTTTGCAAAACTAGCAGCAGTTGCGTGCAAACTTCATCAATGAAAACCCACCAGTAGATTATGATCACTATGATGGTTAGCTTGATCTTGTTGTGTGATAACCATCACTGACATATTTAGGGGTAATCATTAGATTGGATTAATAACATACAATCACAACATCATTGACACATGAGACATACTGCTGCCCGAAGTAAACAAACATATGCACAATACACCTTTTATATATACTGGTAAGTACTTGTGTTTTGTTGACATATGTATATATGATGATGGTGTTGTTGGTGATGATGATGATGATGGTGATGATGATGATGATGATCATAAACATATATGTTATTATTGACATGTATGAAACTACATTGCATGCATATGTGTACACACACATATCCATATATAGTGATGTATATGATGTATATTTATAATATGTATAATTATCATACATGCATATCTGAGCACCCCAAGAAAGGAATAGGTTTTAAATAATATAAAATATAGATATGTATATGCAAACACTCATTGTGTACAGCCGTTTCAGTCACGCCTCCAGCTGTGTCGTGTCTTTCCTGGCCAGCTCCATCTGTGCAGCTGCAGGCATGGTGTCTGGAACCGTGAGCGATGGTGATTCCGTAGGCGAAGGCGCAATCTCAGGGGCCGATGGTGCCTCTGACTCCACCTGATGGGGGCCGCAATAAAACTGCTGGATGTGGTACCGTATCAAGATATGGTATGTTTTTTCCAAACACAAATATAATATAATATAATATAATAAAATATATATACATATCATTACATAAGATATATATACATAGGTTCAGCCAACCATGACCATACATAATCTGATTTATCTACAAACTGGTGAACATATATATATATATATGTAATTATAAATATATATATATATGGTCTATATCAACCTGATCGCATATACGGATTGTGAACTAGGCCTGCTGGTTCACGGTAGCAGCTTCCAACACAGCCATGAGGGCAGTCTTCTGGGGACCATCTTCAAGCGATTGAACATGGTGCAATGCCACTGTATTTGCATTCAAACCAGGGTCACCAGCTGCCAAATCAGCATCCATAGGAACACCAGTTCGACCATCTCCCAAGTCCAAACGCTCGAACATGTCATCGAGTTCAGTGAGGAATTGTTCACAGAGAGGATCACTTGGTGTCTTCAGATCCGATAGCATTTGTTTGAGGGCACCATGTACTGATTTCCCAAGTTCAGATATCATGGCTTCCTTCTCAGCAACCTTTTTGGCCAAACCCTCCAACTTCTGTTTTTCCCAGTTTTCAAGATGAGCAAGTTTTTAGGGATCAGGGATACCTGTTGGCCCGGAGAACTTAGCCAACTGGATAGCCTTGGCTTTCTTCACTTGATCACCCAATTTGTTTAAATCGGTTTCCAGCTTGGCCAAGTCTTCTTGCAACACATCCTGGCTATGCATCATGCCCCAAATTTTGGATACCGTTTCCACTTGACCCGGAGCCTGGTCGCTAGGAACTTTGGGACCCTTGGTTTCAATCCATTTCCCAAGTCGGCCAACTAGAACATCATCGGAGGTTGTACATGCAGTACCACCACCAGACCCAAACACATACTCACACAGAGGCTTGTCACACTCTGTGGCAGTGTCATAGTCCCTTCTAACCGATGGGCTGGCCAATGCTTCCCCAAGTGGAAGGGTAGTCGCTGTCAAAGCATGACGCATCGCAAGTTGATGAGATTGAGGGTGACCAGATCTAGCTGTGCTCCCTCCATGACCTGGAGCTCAATGTTTTTGTTTTAATAACCCAAGACTGAAAATAGTTAAAGTAATCGACATGCTACAGAACCCAATTGCAACCTTTAGCCAAGAATCTGCTCCCATCCAGCGAAGATTCACTGACCACGACAGGCGATGCAGGCAAAGGTCCTACCACCTGTTTGCAGGCAGCCGGGGCTAGGCACATGTTGATTGGTCAGGACTTGAGCATGTACAGGATAAGCCTATATCAAAATAACATCAAGCTTGGGGATTTGGATAATACTAATCATTATTGTTTTTACAGGCTCGAATTGATTTATCAAAAGATGAACTCATTACTGGTTTGTTTAAGCTAGTTGATCTGTGGTTAAATAATGAAGTGATTTTCATGGACAGGAATCACCGCCTTGCACATTGGCTGAGATACTATCCGAATTGATATTGGGTTTGTATTCTTTTGTTTTCCCATTAACCAGTTAAAACAAATATATATATATATATCTATCTAGTTGGTGATCCAAAAACATTGTGGTAACAATTGGTTTTGGAAATGTGTCCTCTAACTGACCCTAGCAACTTCCACAAGATAAACAAAACCACATTTTGTTTGTTCATTTTCACCCGAGTGACTGGATGGGGTCAATCAAAATTCCAACCCAAACAAAAAAAGGTAACATATGATTATTTGATTATTTATGTTTGATCATCATCTAACGTACTCATTATGATATCTTTAAGGACCAACAAAATATATGTCCATTTTATATAATATATACATGATCTCATATGGTGAAATGATTGCACACGTACCACATCCTGATGATGTCACAAAACAAAGTATATGTGCGTGCATCAACCCAAAATGACTTGGCACCTGATGCGATTGTTGTGGTGCTTCCATTTTGACTTTCTTGTGCGCTGGACTCTTTGTCGGAGTGAACAACGACTTTGGCTGCGGCCCTGAAGCACGGTCGTGCTTCTTGTCAACTCTGACGGGTGTGCTGACACCAGCCTTTCCACCTTGGGTGCGAGCAACTCATGAACATGTGGGTTGAGGCAAAGCTCACCCAAGCTGGTTACACGACTCTTGTGTCAACACCATCATTCGAGGTGAACCGACATCGGGATGAGAAAAAAACACTGGTGAGTGCTGACAACCACTATCAGCCTAACAGGCAACTGCAGCAGACCAGTATATGTCACAAAACCATAAGATAATGTGGTGAGAAATGAGATTTCTATACCAGTGTTTTACCTAAGCATCAACTGGAGTCTTGAGATTGCAGGTTGTTAAAGAGTGTGACCCCATGGCCTTTAATATGAAGGTTTAACGAATAGTGATAGAACATTTCTAGTCTAGATATGGTCATACTAAATCTTAAAGACATCAAAATTGATAATATATAGTGGGGTGGAAAACACAGCTAAAGCATAAAACAATTGTGAGAGATTCATTAAGCATTTGGCGAAATGATGAGATACAGCAAGGTGATTTAGTGATGGGGATCACAGCCCTTTACAGCATATATAAACATACCGAGCTAGGCTTGCCTGGTAAAACAAAGCTGTAAGTCCAACCAGTCGTTGGGTAAGTATGTGTTTCATGTTCAGGTCATTTGTAACCAATAAGCATATTGATAGCATGCATCTCAGTGTTTTGATGAGATTGCCTATCAACAATACATGATATATTACTGAATTGTCATGCATGTATTAGTCATCATCAGTTTTACAAACCACAAGTTGCCAATGGTGTTTGTTTCAAACCATATTCACTGGTTCCATTTGATTGATCCGAGGCTCTGCCATGAACTTTGGCCGTGACTTGCGTAATCCTTTTCATCACTGCATCATTCTCCGCGCTAAAGTCAAAGTTTTCAGCCGATGAATGTGATGTCCTGCCACTTGCCTTGCTGCAGCAGTAGGTCATGGGCATGTGAACATCTTAGACTCGACAATTCATATGTGGTTGGTTGGCCCATCAGCCCCATATTAATATGGCATAGATGGAAAATACACTTAATAACACATAATCTACAGCAAAAACAAATTGTCATTAAATACAATGGTGCCAATCTAGGGGCCAAACCTTAAATCATATGGGGTATTTTATGTTTTCTGGATCATTAAGCCACATGAAATGGCTTATTGAAGCCAAATTGCAGCAGATCCAGGTGAAGGTCTCGATTTTGCAGCGGTCGGCACAGGTTTTTCGCTAGCCATGCCTCCTTTCAAGGAAAAAAAAAATCAAAAAAATAACGCAAAATAACGCCCAGAACCTTGTCAGCACGGTCTTTTAACGCAAAATAACGCAAAATAACGCAAGCCTAAAAAAACATAGGCAATGGTATTGCATGAGATATGTCAAATCCAAGGCCTAAATTGGATGAACACATATGTTTTTTCTAAACAAAATATGAGTTCTTGCAATTTGCAGTAGTAGACTTGAGAAATATGCTTCGAATTCAAATACCAAGAAATGCTTGGTTCAGAAATGGTCACCCATTTTCCCATTAGGAAACCAATTATTGAATTTTGTTCAGAAATGGTTACCCATTTTCCCATTAGGAAGCCAATTTTTGAATTTTGGCTCAGAAATGGTCACCCATTTTCCCATTAGGAAACCAATTTTTGAATTTTGGTTCAGAAATGGTCACCCATTTTCCCATTAGGAAACCAATTGTTGAATTTTGGCTCAGAGATGGTCACCCATTTTCCCATTAGGAAACCAATTGTTGAATTTTGGGTCAGAAATGGTCACCCATTTTCCCATTAGGAAATTAATTCTTGAATTTTGGTTCAGAAATGGTCACCCATTTTCCCATTAGGAAACCATTTTTTTGGATTTTGGGTCAGAAATGGTCACCCATTTTCCCATTAGGAAACCATTTTTTTTTTGGATTTTGGGTCAGAAATGGTCACCCATTTTCCCATTAGGAAACCAATTGTTGAATTTTGTTCAGAAATGGTCACCCATTTTCCCATTAGGAAATCAATTCTTGAATTTTGGTTCAGAAATGGTCACCCATTCTCCAATTAGGAAACCAATTTTTTGGATTTTGGGTCAGAAATGGTCACCCATTTTCCCATTAGGAAACATTTTTTTTTTGGATTTTGGGTCAGAAATGGTCACCCATTTTCCCATTAGGAAACCAATTGTTGAATTTTGTTCAGAAATGGTCACCCATTTTCCCATTAGGAAATCAATTCTTGAATTTTGGTTCAGAAATGGTCACCCATTCTCCAATTAGGAAACCAATTTTTTGGATTTTGGGTCAGAAATGGTCACCCATTTTCCCATTAGGAAACATTTTTTTTTTGGATTTTGGGTCAGAAATGGTCACCCATTTTCCCATTAGGAAACCAATTGTTGAATTTTGTTCAGAAATGGTCACCCATTTTCCCATTAGGAAATCAATTCTTGAATTTTGGTTCAGAAATGGTCACCCATTTTCCCATTAGGAAACCAATTTTTGGGATTTTGGGTCAGAAATGGTCACCCATTTTCCCATTAGGAAACCAATTTTTTGGATTTTGGGTCAGAAATGGTCACCCATTTTCCCATTAGGAAATCATTTTTTGAATTTTGGTTCAGAAATATTGGTCACCCATTTTCCTGATATGAATCATTTTTTGTTGCATTTTGTAGATAAACTAATCACCTATTTCCCTATATATATGTTGATTATTAATTTTGATATGGTGACCCAATTTCCAAGATTGTTTCATAAACAATTTGTGATAACCAGCATGGTTTCACAGGTAGACCACTAATCCATATACCATTAATGAGTAATGGCCCAAAACCATAGACTCACCAGTCCTGCTGCAGCGTAGCCACTCGTGATCAGGCTACCCACCGCAAAGAAAAGTCAGCTCCAAAAAAAGCTGCAGGAGCTGCAGATCCGCAGCTGTGCTGTCACCAACATGCTGGGAGATGGAGATACACCATATGATCTAGATATATGCTGTAAAAAATACATACGTATATTACACAAGTTCATGTACTGATGATACTTGAATATATATATATATATACATATATATATATGTGATTGTTTGATAAATATGCAATGTGTTGATATTCACATATGTACATACATATATACACAATAGATAAATAACTCAATGGTTTTAGAACTAATATTGATATATAAACAATAAAAAATGATATATATATATATATATATGAAACATAAATAATGAATATTGAAATTAGAAATATGTATATAAATCATGTACATACATATTTATATATATATATATATGATTATATATGACAACTTCTCAATGTAAACATGTTTATACATATATATGTATATGAATGAAAAACTTTGTGTATCTAACATACTTAAATTTTATATGTACATCTGACA